GATCTAGAGATTTCGTATTGAGTCTGTTATTGATTTATGGCCATGGCCAATTGTTTATGAAGAGGATTATGATTCTTATCTTGGTCTACGCTGAAGAAATCCTTAAAGTTCGTTAAGTAATCGAAACTTTGCAGAAGAATCTAAATAAAATTGATGGTATTGGAACAAAAACTTAACCAAAACTAAAATGGACAGTGTCCTTAGAGATAGATCAAGTGGGATCAAAGGGCTAAATGGCGGCAAAACGCGGAATCTTCCCATTCCCGGATTTGAGTACAATCTTTTACCCTCTCCTCAGCCACTGGCCTGACGTTCTACTCAGGGTACGTTATTTGAAAATGAACTTTGCTCAGCCATATGATGGACATTTTTCAGCATGATTCTCTTGTTTGCTATTCTTACTCTTTCAATCGTACAAGGCTTACCAACCACAAGACCAACACTCACAGTTCGTATTGCCGCACCGACAACTGTGCATCCCATTCCTACTAAAGCTAAAGTGGTGACAGTGACCAGGTAACCGTTTTTATGATGTGTTTTAGAATTTGTAGTTTTTGGTCATGACATCTTCACTGCCTTGGATCGTTTGTACTAATATCACAACTAAAGTTGAAACATCGGAAAATTTTTACGAATGAAGAAATATCTAATATTCGCTCGTAATGAAAATATTCGAACAAATGAATATTATTCGAATCGCCATTTAAAATATATTCGAATTCGAATATTCGAATAGTGAGGGTCTTTTATATCCTATTATTTGAATTATCGAATACGTAGGCATGACATAATTGAATATTCAACTATTCGGATCAAAAATCGAATTATTCGAATATTTCAGCCTAACATAATTACGCAATCTCAGTCATATTCGAAGATTTTGCAGATATTCGATTCAACAAATATTCGATGATTTCGCAGGCATTCGAACGATCGAATATTATTATTCGAATCTCGGTTCCAAAACCATTCGAACGCGATTCGAGTGTCGATAAAAAATATTCGACTATTCGAATAATTGAATAAATGCGTTTTTTCGGATATTCGACTATTCGGAAGGTCGAATAAATACGTTTTTTCGAATACTCTAATGCCGAATGTTCGAATTATTCGAAATGTTCGAATATTTTATTTGAACAAGATATTTGGTCCCAACTATAATCACAACCCACTTATCTTTTGAATAGAAAAACTGCAACTGTGTAGATGTCAATGTGTCAGTGTCTTTCGATGTCCTAAATGCTCATTTGATGCTCTAAGACTACTTAGTTGTGAATAGGTATTTCCAATTATCATAAAGGACTGACATTAGAAGTTGCATAATTTAAGTTCAATTCACTAAATACTTGTAAGGGAATTTTAAAGGGAGCAACAACTTAAGCAATGGAATGGAATGCAAACGTATACTAGGCTAGAGTGCAGAGTTGTTCGTATCTTAGTGACAAATTCAGAAACTGCAGTTCTTATTGAACATTTGGTGTATAATGCAGTGAGAGGTTGAGAATACAGTATTTCTGTGTCATGCAGGTTAGATGTGAGGTCCTTATTAAGACGACGCCTTCGCTTTCAAGCTCATCACCTCGTTATGCAAGAAAGCCTTCCGATTAGAGGGGGTAGAGGTCCACCGCGCCCCTCAATAAAGGCTATCTATCAAATCTGTACGACATAGAAATAGTGCATAGGTACATACAATCCCCATGTCTAAAGAAACCATGATATGGAAATAAGTCAACAAAATTTTTTCTTCTGATTCAGAACGTTTGCATAAAGAAAAGCGCTAGCGGCTGTAAATCCTATTCGCTTTTGCTGCCTCTTGCAAGTTGGGACGTTGTAGCGAATATATATCATTACTTGTGACTGTTGATAACGTCTAGAAAACTTAGAAAAAAAAGTAAAGAAATACTACTTATTGCCATTTTCTGCGGCCTTTTTTCGCTTAAACAAAATTAGAAGAGGATCGCCTTCTTAGGATTAAAAGGGTTGAGAGAAAATTGTTGGAAAGGAGTTGGAAGGCCAAAAAATTGTGAGCATTTCCCAGCATTAGTCGTCTTTGCTTTTAGGTCAGCCCCCCGCTCTCCTCCCCTTCTATAGGCTCGATATAAAATATCTTCTTACAGTACGTTCCCGCCCAGCACAACAACTGCAAAAGAAAGCGTTGGCCTACGAGGTTCCATAGAAAATGAACTTATTCGTCTGCGTAACAGCTACCAGAATATGCGGAAAGATATCGACGCTTGGATGGTAATGCTTGCTTCTTACATATTCTTTTGCAAAGATTCGACATGATTTAATTGCTATGTTGCAGAACACTCCAAACCATCGAAACGTAGTGATCCCTTCAATGATAGGAGTTTTGGCAGCAATAATAACTATTACCTTTTACCATCTTATGAAAGTTGCATTCCGTAGCTGCACCCGGTAAGTCTTGGTCACTTTCGAAACTAGGCACAGTTTTAGAATACTGTGTCTTGCAGTAGATTTCGTCGCTACCGTCTATCCCGCCTCAGCTGCGAAATCAACGGAGACAAGAAACGCATGTTGTCAAAGCGCGGGGACAGCGACGACGAAGAGGACATATGACTACCTGTGGCCGCAAAAAAAGCGGCCCGAAGTACAAATTATAAGAAAGACGAGCTAAGAGATTGAATATTTGAAGATAAAGTTTTAACTATAGAGCATGAGTGATGTGAAAAATACTATTTTATGAAAGAATCAGCAACAACATTCTGTCATTTCCGTAGCAGAATATGTAAAAGATTTTCAGCACTAAAGCACAGGAACAGCATCTCATGCTATGCACAAACTGTAAAAATAAAATGATTTTGAGATGCTGCAATTGACATTATGTATAAAGATCCTTTGACGAATCAAGAAGGCGAGATAAATTTGGAACAAACTTGTGGAAATGCTGTGTTCCTGGTTAATATTTGCAATTTTACACAACTAGTAAAATCATGCTTCACTGTTGATGTAATATAATGCCAATCAGTGATAAAAAGTTCATATTCTGATCCAGCTTTCCAAAAAAAAGAAAACTAGGATGTGCTAAAAAAGTAATTAACAATTGTTACGTTAGACAATTAGCTTTGGGAACGAGCAAGATCAAATGATTAACAATAACTGAACATGCATGAGAATTTTTATACACAATCAACCTGGATGAATGACAATTAAAATCGTAACAGAAACATATAACATCTTGTATTCATTTCATTCAGCCCAGTCTTTTCATGAAATTTTCTGCAAAAAAATCCAACATTCGGAGAGCTAGCTCGAAAAGCAAAACTCACATCTTCCGCATTTTCCACTATCTTTTCCCATACGAATGAAGATGTTTTCTGCGCAGTAGGGAGAGATACTCCGCCTACAAGGATGTTCTCGCCTTTTGGAAGAGCCTGTAAAGAAAGTTTGAAGAATAAAAACTTTTTAAAAAAATAATGTAAGCTAATTACGAGAAAGCAGAAAATCATGAAAATGAACTGCACTACCTTGACGATATTGAATCGACCAACTTGGTCGGATCGAGAAATCACTGGACCATCAAT